AAAAAAAAACCTTACAAACTCAAAATAGTGTCACGCCCAATAGCCAAATCCCACCCAACAATCCCATCCCCACACTGATCTTCCCACACCCATTCCCCGACGGATTCCCTGACGACGGCGCCACCGAATCCCCTCCACCGCCGCCTCCGCCTCCGCCGCGGGCCCGCGTCCCGTTGGCCGGCGGCGCCGCCGCCGGCGGGCTCGCCTCGTAGAACTCCCGGGGCAGGAGAACCCGGTCCACCTGATACACGGCGAGCGGGAATTCTCCCCGGACGGCGTTGTAAATCGGGACGCTGACGATGCCGGTGGAGATGTTGACCCCGCTGCCGACGCCGCCGGAGACGTAGAGGCCGAATACGCCGCCGTCCTGGCCGGAGGCCTGTGTCCGGACGGGGTTGCTGACGGTGCGGAGGTCGTCGAGGGTGTAGAACTTGGGGCAGATGTGATAGAGGACCAGTTGGACCTGCTGCTGTGTGGTGAGGTTGTTGAGGGCGCCGGCGGGGAGGTTGGTGAAGGCGTTGTCGGTGGGGGCGAAGACGGTCATGCCATCGTGGGAGTTGTTGGCCTGGCTGTTTATCTGGACGGCGGCCTGTGTTTCGTTGAGGAGGCGGATGAAGGAGGTGTAGCCGCCCGCGCGGTCGAGGATGCCGGTGATGTTGACGGGGGCGGTCGAGTGGGAAGGGGCGGGGGCCGTCTGGGCGGAGGCGGAGGAGAGGAGGAGGAGGGGGAGAAGGAGGTGGAGCGCCGCCGCCATTTTCCGGTGGTGGATTTGTTAGTTAGTGTGTGTGTGTGTGTGAGGGCATGTGTGGGGTTTATATTGTGTGTTTGGGGATAAGAACGCCTGGACGCGCTGCAGTTTGTTGGAATGAGCTGGCAGCTGCAATAAATTAATTTAAGTTTTTTTATTTTTTATTTTTTGTTGGAGGAGGTATTATTAAAAAAATTGTCATAGTGATTGGGAAATATTCTTTTTGGATCAATTATTATTATTATTATTATTATTATTATAAAACAAAATAACTGAAGTAAAATAATTAAAATAATTTGATATAAAAGTAGGAGAGAGATAGTTTGATGTGATAATTAGTTAAAATAATATGAGTGAATGAATAGTGAATTAAGGTTGATGTGATGTGTATTAATGATTGATTGATATTATTTAATTATATTGAATAGTGAGGTTGAGTTAAAGTTGGGTTAAAAAAATGGTTGAGTTAAAATATTGGAATTTTTTTTTTGAAAATTTCCATACACAAACATGCTCTTATTTTTAGTACTCACAATGCATTGTGTCATGTAAATGGTCTTTAAGTCGTGAATGACATGGACAAACTCAAGTAAAAAAATTCAAAAGTTATCCAGTACAAAAATAAAATTTTATGTCTATAATACACGTCAAGCAATAAAAATAATTTAATATGCTTTCTCTATTAAAAAATTTAATAAATTTGGAATAAATGTTGATTGTTCAAGTTTGTACTTGAATTCAAAATAGACTCAAGAGTGAACTTGATCTTATTTTTTGATCGCCACATAAGTTAGGCCATGTCCAATTTTAATTGCATTGGAAAATATTTTGTAACATACTAAGTTTATTTCCTACATGACATTTAAAATTTTTTAAGAGACCTAACATTGTGGATAGTCTTAGGCTATATATCATGATCGTGGGTGGATTAGTTGGATGGTGGTAAAATCGAGCTATTATTGTCGATTGACACGATACTATTGTGATCGTACAATAGCATTGTTCTAAAAATCGGCCTAGGCGGTCGGCTAGACGGTGCTCGGACACCTCCGATTTGCACAAATCGACATAAGAAATCGGTCAGACGGCTAGGCGGGCCTAGACGCTTCTAGGCGGACTTGGCTGGCTATGCGGTCAGGCGAGCATAGGCGGACCTAGGCGCTCCTAGGCGGGCACGACGACAATTTTTTATTTTTTTATTTATTTTTTTAAATACTAATTACATTATTTTGTTCTCATATTTTTTTTTTTTGAAATATATCAATTTTATTATAGACTTAGGTGTATCGATTTATCACAAGTTGAGATAATTTTGTTTTGTAGGTAGTTAAAATAAATAAAACCTAAGGTATTTAATACTATCTCCTATTTTTAATATATGTCGTTTTGAGAAAAGTTGTACATTAATTAAGAATATTTTTTTGTTAATAATAACCTTATTGAATGAAGATAGAGATGAATGTTTTGAAAAAAAAGTGAATAGTGAATATGAAAAAACGTAATGTATTTATTAGCTAAATGATGGTAATAATTGAAAATTATGTACAAAAGATCCAAAACGACATTTATTTGTCAAATAGTTGATAAAGCTAGAATGACATTTAAAAAAAATAGGAGGAAGTATTAATTTCTAGGCCACGCCTAGGCGCTCTAGGCGCTAGGCGCTGGTCGAGCGCCTAACGCGCGCCTGCGACTTTTAGAACACTCTACGATCACATCATAAGCTGCGGCCACACCATAATGCAATCATCATACTACTGCTATCGCAACATAATCTAAAGATGTTGTATTTTGCATTGCAGGTAATATATATATATATATATGGTGCACTAGGTTAGTACCTTGAACAACCTATATTCACGCTCAAATTAAAATAAAATTATAATAAATTTAGTACCTTGGGACGGGCTTTTCACGGTCCAAATAAATTCAACTTTAAAAGGTAAAAATGGAGACGGCTAACGAAAGGCAAAATAAAGGGAATTAGTTGCATATACCTGCTCCGGAGAAAAAAACACATGGCTTATTTTTGTCAAATTGAAGATGATAAAAGAAGTTGAATAATTAGTACATGCACAACCTGGCATAACGTGGCATACATGGCCTACCGCCCATATACGCCCCCATGTATAATCTTATTACTTCTTATCACAAGTCTAGACAACCAAGAAAGAGAGAAGTTTAATTATGTATACAGCTGCTGATCATTATTTGATTAAGTTTCAAATAGTTGTCTCTCAATTAGATTATTGTAAAGTTATGAATAAAGAAAAAAAAAAAGAAGATTTGTAATGTAATAGTTTATCTGTTACCTCGACCGGGTTGAACCGCGCCTAGCTGGTTTGAACTGTCTTGATGCCTCCGACGACCTGTAAAACGCCGGGAGGAGACCCGACGGAAAACACTACGACGCTCAAGTCAGCCCAACGTTCAACAAAAATAAGTCGAGGGAGTAAATTCACGCGTGTATGTGTGTTGTGTAAGAAAAAGAACATGTGTCCTTTTTAGAGTTGGGGTTACGATTAGGCTGAAGACTTATTGTGAGACAAGAAGTCTATCCGGTGTCTATCTCCCATTCAGGCTAAAGGATTCTGAATCCTTAAAGTCTTTGAGGTTGTAAACCTTCTCATGACTTAACTGTGGAATTACCCCCATACCCTGATCCCCTCGATGGAACAAGTTAACCAGGTGTCGAGGTAATCACATCCGCCGAGCTCACCCACCTTGGTAGGCCGCTGAAGTACCAATGACAAACTAGCCTCCCGCCTAGCTCTTAGTCACCTCAAACCTGCCCCAGCATGTGCAAGATATCGATTTTAGGCCGAGCTCCTCCTAGATCATATATGATGAGGGTTCAACTAACCCTCAGCCCCCCCAGCCCAGGCTAGCCGTGGCCCTGCCTGGTGAGCCCAGTCTAGCCGTGGCCCTGCCTGGTGAGCCCAGGCTAGATGGTACAGCATTGCATGCTCGGTGACCTTATGCTCAGGGTCACATGTTCGAATGCTGGGGAGGGCAAAAACCACACTTGAGCAGTGTGGAAGGCCATGAGTCCACTGTGGGACTCATTCGAGTCGGTGGGTCCCCTGGGGCACGAGCCAGTCAGGGCCACGGCTAGACTGGGCTCACCAGGCAGGGCCACGGCTAGCCTGGGCTGAGGGGGCTGAGGGTTAGTTGAACCCTCATCTATATATGTGGTATATCAATTCGTATTCAATCTAGAGATGCAAGCCAGTTCAATTCAATCTAGTGTGAATTCAGTTTTACCACTTTGATTCGTGTTCGTTTTGTATAGGTAGTGAGAGAGAGAGAGAGGAGAGAGAGAGAAGAGAGAGAGAGAGGGAGAGATTTGGACTATAGTATTCGTTCAAAAGAATTTGTTTTCTTATTAGAGCATATCCAATGCTCAAATATTGTTGTAGTAAATTACATTCCACATCAACATATTTAGCAATGACACAACTTTTCATCCTCCAATGCACATTGTGATTACAATTGTTGTGATGATGTGAACATAATTAATGTCTACAATGTAGAAAAGAATGTGGTTCATCCACATTCTCCTCCACATTATAGCTAATCAATGAAAAGAATAGAGAGATTATTCTTACCAATTTTAAACTATTTAATTATGTAATTAATATTTTTTACTACATATTATAAAATATTAATATTTGGTAAATAAAAAATATTACAGTTAGACTACGTTGTGCATTGGAGATAATTTTTTAATTTCGTAGGTGTAAACTTAATATTTTTCCTACATGGTTCACATTCCACTTAATTTAGTGACATTTGTCAAAATTTATTCAATAACAATATTAGAGCATTGGAGATGCTCTTAGATTGTGTTTGTACAAGTATAGTGGGCATTATTAGTTGTTTGTAAATAATTGTTCGATAATTAATGAATTGTATATTTATTTTGGAAATATTATGTTGACATGTTATTGTACGAAACATACCTTCTCAAAACTCTCTTATAATGAGCTTTTTTAAAATTAGCGTTTTGAGCTAAAAAAGCTAATCAAATAAGTTTTTTTATTAAACAAGTTAGCTGGCTGATTTGACATGACAAACCTATAAATAAGTTCAAATCCGGTAACTATACAACAAATCCGCTAGCATCTAAACATGCCTACTCAATTATAAGAATGATTAATATGGTCTCTTCCAGCTTAACCAGTAGTCTCGTGTTCGAGCCCTGGGAATGCAGCAGTGTTAAAACTCTTGAGGGAGAGCTTTGCCGTCCTTGTGGTCCTACCCGGCTCGATTCCGGATTAGTCGGTTCCTCTGTGGATCCGGAAACCGGAAGGTCCCTGTACGAAAAAAAAAATATGGTCTTGTTTGGTAATATTTTTTTT